ATGGGGAGGGTAAATGCCAAAAAAGCTGTTTTCACACAGAAACTCCTAGCAGACTTAATGAGGCAAGGCAGCCTTCCTGGGGTTGCCTTTTAACAAAGAAAAAGTGAGATGTTCTTGCCACAAATACCAGGCCATCCTCCTCTGCTCCCTGGAAGCAGGACCGCTTCCCCAGCTGGGTTCCACGAACAAAGGGTTCCAGATGGCTGTGGACCAGCCGGACTGGCACCAGTGCACAGGGCTGTCACTCAACAAAGTGTCTTGTGGCCACTCTATAAGGCCTCCCAGAAGCAGCAAGGAAGTGGGGATGGAACCTAGAAAAAGGTCCCCTCAAGGATAATTAAAGAAGCAGATGAGGAGCTGAAAAAGTGACCTGTATTCTGGGCTCTTCAAAGGCAGATGCATCTAATCAGATCTTACAGGTTCAAAATCATCCTTGGTGAGTCCTAGATCCACTGTTCACTGGATTTGGGACATTATAACCTATAGATCTTTATTTCCTTGTACGTTAAAAAGAGAGAGAGAGAGAGAGAGACAGAGAGAGAGACAGAGAGAGAGCTGTAAGGTAGGCAGTGATCCCTATTTTGTTTTTGTTTTTGTTTTTGTTTTTTTTTTATAGATTAGTAAATGTCAAGTAAAAGCTATGGTTACAAACTTTTAGATCAAGTTAGGACAACAAAAAGCTTAAAAACTATGATCTACTATAACCATTTCATAAAGGATGACTATTTAACATCATAAAGGAAGGATAACCAGAATTTTAAAGCTACTTGTTGAACTTTACCTAAAGATCAGCCCTATATTGCTTGTGGCTTTCTCAAGCTCCATGAACTGATGCGTTTATACCAACTCATCTCTGCAAAGACTCTTTTGCCTTGAATACTTTGGGATAGCTGCACCACTTGCAAATATTGCTAACTTCCTTGAAGAAGCGTTTTATTAGAACCTTAAGGGAATCCTTGGATATCAAGTGCAAAGTCTCTTGGTATTTGTGTCCATTTTCACTGCTAATAGCTGTGCAGTGATTGCGAGCATCCAGAAACCATACCACTGCTTTAAAATGAAGTCAAATAGATTGTGGTGAACAGGATTCATAGAAGCTTGGAGTTGGAAGGTTTCTCAGCAATGATCTTATCTCTGTGGCTTTCAAATTAGTGCTGCTTCAACCAACTCTGTATCTTAATTATTTTAATAACTGAACTTTTGGTTAAGATGGAGCTCATTTACTTAAAAAAAATCTTGAACAGCAACAATTTAATCTACTTCTAATTTAAAGGGAAAACGGAGGCTAGAAGAGCTAAGATTTTCCTCAGACCACCCATTTAGTTGGCAGAACTTGGTGACACATCACCAGTGTGGTGTATGTAAGGATTCCTACAGCTCAAAATTCACAGCAATCACTAGAGCAGTGGTGGTGAACCTATGGCATGCATGCTACAGCTGGCTATTATCCCTGAAAGCTCTAAAAGGTTTGCCATCACTGCACTGGACTTTGGATCTTGTGTTCCCCAAAGGTCCATGTGGTAAAGGCTTGCTCCCCAGGGGGAGCTATTGGGATGTAATAGGGCATAATAGGTCTTTAGGTATTAGGATGTGACCTTCAAAGGGATGGTGGTACAGTCCCCCTGCCCCTTTTTTGAGACAGGGTCTCACTATGCAGTTGAGACTGACCTAGAACTCACCATATAGCCCAGGCTGGTCTTGAACTCACAACAATCCTCCTGCCTCAGCCTTCCGAGTGCTGGAGATTACAGGCATGCACCTCCACGCCCAGCCTT